ACATTTTCATAGATCCAGAATTGAGGCCCTGGTACGATCCTTCCTTAGTACGTTGTAACCATAACAACGTTGTAGGCTGCAATTTTCATTCAGCTTGGTTTCCTTTGCCGCTGCGAACTTAATATTTCTCCGACTCATAAATTCCACTATCTCATCTATTTTGACTCGTTGCAATTGAATTGCAAGAATTAGTATTTCATTCCAAATTAGTTATATATATATATATATATATATATATATATATATATATATACATATATATATATATATATATATATATATATATATATATATAACTAATTTGGAATGAAATACTAATTCTTGCAATTCAATTGCAACGAGTCAAAATAGATGAGATAGTGGAATTTATGAGTCGGAGAAATATTAAGTTCGCAGCGGCAAAGGAAACCAAGCTGAATGAAAATTGCAGCCTACAACGTTGTTATGGTTACAACGTACTAAGGAAGGATCGTACCAGGGCCTCAATTCTGGATCTATGAAAATGTGAAATGAAAACATTTATAAAGGGAAAAAATGTCAAATGAAAAATTTTATAAAGGAAATATTTTTCATATCACATTTTCATAGAACAAGAATCCAGCCCCAGAAGTGGTGGTGGGGGATTACACCATTCTGTTCAGTACATACCTATCTCGCTTTTGCTAATCTCTAGTGACCCATACATGGAATGTATGGGGGTAGCAGTCAAGTGTGGATCTGCCGAGGTAGAGTTACTTTATGTGTATATCCCGCCGATTAATAGCTTTGAACCGCGTTATTTGCCAGATTTTATCCCATGGTTGGTAGCCATGATGATGATTTGTGGAATTCCGCCCTAGGTAATGACCAGAGGGGATCAGCGCTGGCAGAGCAGATTGACTGCTCCACATTCTGCACGGTTAACGAGGATGACTGGACTTGGCAGCCCGTCATTTCTCTTCGCTCAGACCATCTCCCGATAATCGTCTCCAAAAGCAGGTCGCCCGAGTGAACGCTGCACTTTTCTTAACCATGGGAAAGCTCACTGGCCTGCTGGTCGAATACCCGAGATAAGACCATACTTCCCAGCAGAGGCAGCGGGATTAGTAAACGAGCGTGATGATCTCCGTCGTACCTACCCTACTGATCCTAGAATCAGTGATTTGACAGTGGAAGTCAACCGGTTGGTACAGGAGCATAAGAGGAAAAAGGGGCTAGATCTTCTGAAGTGTTGCAACATTGGAACCGATATGAGTAAGCTGTGGGTAACGGTTAAGTCGCTCTGGAACTTGGATGACAGGACCTGGAAAAAAGGATGATAGGACCTCAGTCACTTTTAACGACGTAACGGTGACTGATCCGAAGAGGTGCGCAAAGTATTTTAACCGACAATTTGTCGAGCACCCCGAGGGCGAAGCGAAGAGTACTACGTCGTATCAGATCTCTTCCCGCCGAGGAGGAACCACCACAGTTTACGATGGGTGATGTTGCAAATGTCACCCGTAACGCTAAGTCATCCAAAGCGCTGGGCCCGGACGGAATCTCAATGGTAAAGTTGAAGCAGCTGGATACGCCGGGAGGACTTAACGAAAGTTCTCAATTTGTCGCTAGCCACCCACATAGTGCCCGAAACCTGGATAGAGATCGTAACGTATGATCATAGCGTCGGTCCCGGTGGTCGATGACACATGTAAAAGGCTGAACCCCTATCTCGAACCTTGAACCTCTTTGTTGATCTCTTATAAGGCGATAGGTCGATCTGTGGTCAGCTATGCGGCAGGGTGCCTTCTCATGACACCAGTGGACCATCTACATGAGGAGGCGAAAGTCGTTCCGGTACGTCAGCTATTAGCAATTATAAAATACACAGCCAAACCTACCCAACTCACTGCAGAAGGTCTCTGGCAACAGCCCATTAAAGTAATCGAATTTCTAAACCTGGAGCTGGAACCAGATTAGCAGAACGCAAACACATGCATGTACTACTGCTACAACAACAACAACCGGAAGTGTTTCAAATTTGGTATTTGAAGTTCAAAATGAATACTACAGCCTAAGACAGAAAATTGTCTGTGCAGATCCACGTCTTCATATAGCCCCTGTTTAAGTTGGTCTTCAACTTCCCGAGTCCAGTCAATCACGGATGCTGATTGACACAGCGGGCATCTCCTCGGCAAACTTCCCTCGGCGGAGACCGTAGAGCGCAGATGCCACCGGGCGGTGGTTGTGGTTGGTTAGCGCACTTTGATACATACGAGACTCTGCTCTCAATGGAAATAATTGTAAATGTAGTAGTAGATCCTCGGCGATCACTGCGATCCTCTGCGATTGCAAGAACCTCTGCGTTCACTTGTCGTTTAGTAGTTGACACATAAACACAAAGGTCTCTGCGCCACCCCAAATTACACAAGGCAATTTTGTTTGTTGTATAAAAAAGAAGAACTCAATAAACCACCAAACTTATATGAACTTAAAACTAATTACTATTGTGTTTTATTTCTTTTTTCCTCCTTTCACCTCCTCACAATTTCCCCGCCTAAACATTTGGTCGTATCGAGTCGGATTTGTGTCGCTTAAGAATTTTGGCTGGTTGTAATACACTACAACACATCCCCCTCATATCTCTCACCACCGCATCAATACCTCTCCTCATAAAATCGTCAACATCAACAATAAGGTACGTAAGTTCAGTGTTTTGTTATTGCGAGCTTTTACAAAGAGTGTTTTAATTTGTGTTTTTCTTTTGCTATATTCACCACACTCTATTTTCTCTGTTGAGACAACATTCTCTGATTTCATCTTTGTTTTGCTCTCAACAAGACTGCACCAATATTCCAATCGGTGTTTCTTACAAATAAACGGAACAACAACTTCATCTCCCCAACTCTCAAGTTTGCTTAGTTGTTGTATTCCCCGATATTCCACGCGCCTTTATTAGCGTCGGTTTACTAATACATAATCACACCAACAATTATTTAGCTCTCTCACCAATCACTGTTGGTTAATTGTCAGTGATCTATTCGTATTGTGATAGTCAATCCCCTCCCCGTCACCGTCCCATCAACAAACACTGCTTGTGTTTTATTCTGTTTGTTGCGATATCCTTCACAACCATTGTCAGTGATCTATCTGTAGTGTGTTAGCCAACCCCTCCCCGTCGCCGTTCGATCCACAAACACTACTTGTGTTTTATTCCCTTTTGTGCGATATTCGTAAACACCATTGTCAGTGATCTGTTTGTAGTGTGGTACTTTACCAACCCCCGTCACCGTTCGATCCACAAACACTGCTAGTGTTTTATTCTCTTTTGTGCGGTATTCTTAATTCACCATTGCACAGTGGGTCTGCCTGACAAAATTGTGAATTTTGAAAAAAATAAAATCTTAATTTTTTTTTTAATTTTGAAAATATAATTGATTTTTAGCAAGGTTTTGGAATTTTCTTTTGAAATAACCCTACTTTTGGCATTTTGGCAGAACATTAAACAGATAATTCCCCTTATAAAATTGCTCAATTTTGAAATTTTTATAAAAACAGTTCTGTTGGGTTTTTTGGAGATACACCTGTGTATATAAATTGTTAAGCTCTCCAATTAATATATTCATTGCAAAAATTGTGCACGCTACACCGACAATAACCGAAATATAAAAGTTTTATTTTTATTTCTTAAACTTGTTTCATATAAAACTTTGCGCCTTTATTTAGATATTGATATTTGCCCCCTTTTTGCAACATGTCGGTCACACCTTTTTCTCAATTTATCCGTGCGTCTGATAATGTAGTCAAGCTTATTGCATCATTTCACCTACTTGATTCTGAAAGGCATACAGTTTTTAACCTTGAAGTTCGGCGTTCGGATCTTCAAGACTTATGGGGCAAGGTCAAGAACACTTATGACCAATGTCTTGACTTTTTGATGACAGAAATTAATCAGAAGTTGCAAAATTTGAAATCGGTGAAATCTCCTTCGTCCACAACTACCGTTATCAACGTCAGTCCGCAAAGCACTCCAATTCAAAATTGTGAGTCAAACCATGTTAGTAATGCTAGTTTAAATATGTCTAACTTTGTGAACCCCGATGTCAGTTCTCTGCTGAAATGTCAAATTCTAATTGGAGTCTCCCGCCGAATAATTGCAATACTATGCACAGCCTAAATCTACCGCCGTGTGAAATAGATGATTTCCACGGAGACTTCCTGTCGTGGCCCATATTTCGTGATCTTTTTCGGTCATGTACATAAATAATAATCGGTTAAGTGACATTGAGAGGTTATGTCACTTAGTGCAGAATACTAAAGGTAAGGCAAGGAAATCGTTTCTAAATTTCCACTTACCCACAAAGGCTTTCCTCTAGCTTGGAAGTCTCTGCACGATACTTATGATAACAAACGCATTCTTGTGAATAATTATTTGAAAAAGTTGTTTGATCTCCCCTCGTTAACAAGCGAAACGAGTTCCGGTTTAAAAACCTTGCAACGGGGTATAGCTGTTTGTCTGCCATGTCAGTCTATGACATTGTTACGGATCACTGGGATCCTATTCTGGTTTTTATTTGTATTCAACGTCTGCCAGAACTTACTGTGACACTCTGAGAACAGAGTCTCAAAGATAAATCGTCCTTATCGTTATGGTCCGAGCTCGATTCTTTCCTCAATGAAAGAATACAGACGCTTGCCTGTCTGCGTGATCTCAAAGGCATCGATTCTTCTGAACCAAGATCAAATTCACGCAACGTTAGGACACCTTTGGTGAATAAATCGTCTGGTATAATAAAACCACGTTCTATACATCCTTGTTTCTACTGCCCCAGTGAAAGTCACGCACTTTACTGCTGTCCTAGTTTTAAAAAGTTAACTATTGATGAAAAAATAGATTTTGTAAAAAGACAAGAGTGGTGTTTCAATTGATTATCTAAAGGTCACTCGGTTAGAAATTGTTCCAGCACACATAATTGCAATTTTTGTCATAAAAGGCACCACACCCTTCTACATAAACCTAATAGAATTGCATACCCCAACAGTGTCGTCCCAAATGCTCCAAATGCTACTTTCCCAGCCGCTAGTCTGCAGTCTAGTACTAACATAGTTAAGCAGGCTCCTACCACTACTGCTGCAAATTTGCCACCAGTTAATCGCCAGGTGTATCACACTACCCACAATTCTAAAGTTCTTCTCAGCACAACTATTGTTAATTTAGTTCACCAAGGCAAATCCTACCCTGTTCGAGCCCTTGTTGACCCTGCGTCCGAGGCAACTTTCATAAGTGAGCACCTCCAAAATAGATTAAAATTACCCTCCCGTATTTCTCCTTCTAGAATATCTGGTATAAATGCTTCTTCTAACGTTACCTCCAGGAAAAATTGCATCATTAACATTAGCTCTGGGTTAGATTCCACAATTTTATTGAAAACCGAAGCATTTGTTCTCCCGAAGATCTCAGGTAATATCCCTTCTTTCCCTGTCAATATTACCCCTTCAAGTGCTTTTTCTAATATCCATCTAGCAGATCCAACAATTTCCGATTCTCGTCCTGTGGATATATTATTAGGTGCGGATTTGTATCCCCAAATTGTGTTGCCTGGAGTACAACAGAACATATTTGGTTCATTGTTGGCACAAAATACGGTTTTCGGATGGATTGTATCTGGTCCACCCCTGAAGGTCTTTACGACCACTATTCAATCACGTGAGAAAGCTTTTGGGAGTTAGCTATCTTTAAACAGCTTCGCCCACAAAAGGTTGCAAAGCACAAATCGTTTTCGTCAACTAAGGCGCCCCAAGATCCTCCCATGTCACCCCATCGCATACAAGCCCATATCGGATCTTCATCTAGATAATCTGGATCAATAATACCCCCTTCTTATTCACCAAATCACCATTCCTCGTTAACGGGAACCTCCCGCTCTTGTCCACCATATTATTCAATATCACCACGTAATTCTTCTCCTACGCTATTCTTCCTAGACCAGTAATAAGTCTCTCTCGTCTTGTTTATCTAGACAATTTTCTCATCCTACACTGGCCTCTTGAATACTGTATGTAGTGTATTGAAAATATATTCTCCAAAAATTTTTATTCGCAATCTCCTTCAACTTATTTCCCGCTTTTCACAAGCCTAAAGTACACCCAGTTTCAAAGATTCCCCTTTTTTTCTGAACGGTTCACCCTCACCATATTATTGACGTTTGCCTCAAAGTACTACAAGATCACCACTAAACATGCTTGTGCATTCACCGGGCAGTATTAAACATTCACCAACCTCACCCAATTGTTGTCTAACCCGCTCAAAACGTCAACTTTAACCGTAACTGTTTTCTTTTCGATAGGTTACTTAAGAATATGTATCCAGGAACTACCACCTACATCTTATCTTTGGAATTCAGTCCAGAACACTTGTAAAATCTCGCTTAAAATTGAATTGTATTGAAACATACTAAAACGCTCATTTAAACCTGAACTTACGATCCTTTGTATATTTTATTATAGCTAAAATTTAACTGTTGCCATATTACTGATTCCAACTTGCATTTGTTAATACATTGAAATGTATCAAGGTCAATCACGGATGCTGATTGACACAACGGGCATCTCTTCGGCAAACTTCCCTCGGCGGAGACCGTAGAGCGCAGATGCCACCGGGCGGTGGTTGTAGTTGGTTAGCTCACTTTGATACATACGAGACTCTGCTCTCATTGGAAATAATTGTAAATGTAGTAGTAGTAATCGACAATGATCCTCGGCGATCACTGCGATCCTCTGCGATTGCAAAGGTCTCTGCGCCACCCCAAATTACAAAAGGTAATTTTGTTTATTGTATAAGAAAAGAAGAACTCAATAAACCACCAAACTTATATGAACTTAAAACTAATTACTATTGTGTTTTATTTCTATTTTCCTCCTTTCACCTCCTCACAATTTCCCCGCCTAAACAGCCCCCATATAACGGAACGTCCCGGAATTATTTCAAATTTGCTATTTGAAGTTCGTAATGGACACTACAGCCTGTGACATAAAATTGTCTGCGCAGTCCACGTCATCATATAGCCCCCAAATAACGGTAGCTCCAGATATTCTGTATTTTGATGATTTTTGCGACATTATTCACCGGAGTAGTTTTAAATTACGTATTTATATTTCGTAATGGGAACGAAGAACTCAATAAACCACCAAACTTATATGAACTTAAAACTAATTACTATTGTGTTTTATTTCTATTTTCCTCCTTTCACCTCCTCACAATTTCCCCGCCTAAACAGCCCCCATATAACGGAACGTCCCGGAATTATTTCAAATTTGCTATTTGAAGTTCGTAATGGACACTACAGCCTGTGACATAAAATTGTCTGCGCAGTCCACGTCATCATATAGCCCCCAAATAACGGTAGCTCCAGATATTCTGTATTTTGATGATTTTTGCGACATTATTCACCGGAGTAGTTTTAAATTACGTATTTATATTTCGTAATGGGAACTACAGTCTGTGACAGAAAATTGTGTATGCAGGTCCAGGTCTTCGTATATGCCCCATATATCAGTACCTCCCTATATTCGGTATTTTGACGATTTTAGGTACAATACTCACCGAAATTGTTTGAGATGTCGTATTTGAAGTTCGTAATGGATGCTACAGCCTGTGACAGAAAATTGTCTATGTCCGTTATAACGGTACCTCTCTATATACGGTATTTTGATGCTTTTAGTTCATTATTCACCGTTTATTTCAGTTTTAAATTTGAATATGGTAATGGCTTATGGCAAACAAAGCATATGTAGGTTCACGTCGTAGAGACCCCAATGTAACGGCTTTATTCGATATTTTTAAAATTTTAACCGAATTTTCAGCGGATTTAATTTTTTGAAAATTTCCAAATTCGGAGGGTATTTAACTGCTTTTTAACTTGTTTTTCATTAAATGTGGTCACAAAATATATGTATAGACGAAAGACGTTTTTATACCCGCCACCATACATAGTATGGATGGTATATTAAGTTCGTCTTTCCGTTTGTAACTCATTGAAATAATTATTTTGGATCCAAAAAGTATATGTATTCTTGATCAGCGTAAAATTCTAAGACGATTTAGCTCTGTCCGTCCGCCCGTCTGTTGTAATCACGCTACAGTCAAAATGAATTAAGATAGGAAGCTATAATTTTGCAGAGGTCTGTCTTTGTCTGCGGGCAGGTCAAGTTCCAAGATGGGCTATATCGGTCCATGATATCGTATGGCCCCCATATAACGGTACCCTCTATATTCGGTATTTTGATGATTTAAGCCACATTTTCAATGGAATTATCTGAAATTCCACACAAGGAGTTCCTTGTGAGTACTTTACCCCCAGAAATAGATTTGTCTATATAGGTCCACAATATCGTATATCCCCCATATATCGACACATTCCGATATTCGGTATTTTTAAAATTTTAACAGAACTTTTAATGAGTTTTATTTTTGTGAAAATTTCCTAATTCGTTCAAAATGGTGGAGGGTATTCAAAGTTCGGCCCGGCCGAAATTGTCAAATTGTGGTTTAGTGTGGGTAAACCGCTTTTGGTAACGTAAGTTCACCCGAGGTTACAAAAGACGACAACTATGTAGATATTGAATTCACTTTTTTTCAACTTCGCCACAAAGTACAAACATAGTTTCTGTCCTGCGTCATTTCACCAAATATATTTAATGAATATGTTTCACATAATTCCTGTGGCTGGCTTTGATGGAAACGACCTTTGAAAGTTTTATGGAATTTGTTTAAAAATAAGAACCTATACATGGTAATCACTGTTCCTTCTGTTTCTTTCCAGCTTTTACAAAAGGTAGTTATTACCGTTTATTTTATGGGACCCCTGTTCTCCTGTTAATACAACTCCCTTGGTTATGTTAAAATTATTGTTTGCTATCTCTTCTATTTATTTCCTAATAGTACCCCTATGCACTTTTTATACCCTCAGCCATATGGCTAGAGAGTATATTTATTATTTGATACGGTCAACACGTGCTCGTCGAAATAACGGTTTTAGAACCTAGGTCTGTTTAGACAAAATTCGATCTCCGTTCGTCCGTCCGTCTGTCTGGCTGGTGTGCACGATAACTCTCGAAGGGAGTATCCGATTTGGTCCAAACTTGGTACATCGTACACAGCATCTGTTAGAAAAACGATAGTGATCGGACCATTCCTTCTGGTACCTCCCCAACAAAAGGTCAAAGTTTTGAACAACCAAAACGTTTATGAAATCCGAAATAAGCTTCAGACTCTCTTTATATTTCACACATGGGATATATCGGTCTACCTTCCCCACAAAGGCTCCAAATTTTTAATATACATGAAGCTCATAAAAAGCGAAATTGACATCCTATTCCATTCAAAACTTGGTACATCCCAATATTTCCATTAACACAAGATCTATTATATAGATGGTAGAGATCGGACCATTTCTTTTGCTACCTGCCCCATATAGGGTTTAAGATTTTGAAAACTACAACGATCAAAGAAAGCGAAATAATCAACACTCTTCAAATTTCACACATATAACAAACAATACAATATCTGTTGTGCAGATAACATATACCTGTGAACCCTTTCTGATACCTTACTCACAAAGGGTCACAATTTTCCAAACTTTTATCTGTCCGCGATTTTTTACAACTTGCTATATCTATATATGTATATATCTCTCTTTGTCAGAAACCTGAGATGAATATGGGATTTATGATTTTCCATAAATTGGATATAACCGTTCGATTTTCTTGTAATATTGCCCATACCAATATTTTAATATGTATTAGATGGAGCATGGAATGGAATGTTAACATTTTCAAAAAATTATCATATATGACATGTAAAGTGGAGGAGGTAGTCGATATAGTCCAAACCTAGCACGTCGCAATTTTTATATCATATTTATTTAGGTCCGATGCGAAATGGCCAATATTGCCCTATCCCTTCGAACCTACTGCATAAAGGGGTTAAACATTTTGAATAATCATAACAGAAGTTAAAATGTTTTTAATAATCGTACATTGGCTGAGGGTATACATCAGTCGGCAAAATCGACAGATACTTTTTAACTTGTTAAGTAATCTCTCAGAAGGCGGGGTAATTAACAGAAATATACGGTTGTGTAATAATAGGCATTAATTTTAGTGAGATTCAAGTGTTGATGTTAAAAAGTCTCAACCCTCAACATCAATAATTGGCACGTTCAACTGAAGAAAAATTAAAAGGTTAGAAAAGAATGTAATAAGAATGATGTGTGAAAAAAATTCTGTAAATTGCCTGGAGTCTGTTGTTCATTGAACACAGTCAACCCCCTCTCGAAAGGCCTTTCAGTG